GGGGGGCGCTCCGCCCTGGTGCGGTAGCGGAGCGAGCCGCGGGCAACAGTGCATCCTCAACCTCCCTACCGCGCGCGTCGAAGGGCCCAAGCCACGGAGCCGTCGTCGTCCCGCCGTCCAGCGCCGCCGCGTGTTCGAGTGTGTGTGTGCGCGCGCGCCTGCATGCGCGAGTGTGTGTGTGCTGCTCACCACCGGCTCACCGCCCCGCCCCGCCCACTGCCCCGCTCGCCGCCCCGCTCGCCGCCCTATGAGCAGGGGAGGATGCCGGCGATGAGGCGAGCGCTGCCGGCGTCCTGGCCGGGGTCCTGGACCTGGTCCTTGGGCTGGACCGTCACCCTGAAGGAGGTGTCCGCCGCGCTGCTGCTCGTCGTCTGCTTCGCCTCCTCGGTGAGTCGCAGTCAAGATCATCCGCGCCGATCGTGACCGCGGATCCATTTTCGTTCAGGCTCAAGCGTCTAACCCTAACCTTCCCAATTCTCCCGTCTATACACCCTGCGAGCAGGCGTTTCTGCCTTGGATGCACTTGGATTGCATTTTAAGAGGAGGGGGCTTTCATTGGGTTCAAGAACCCCTCACCGCACCTTAGCGTGCATGCGGTCACGCTGCTCACAGTTCCTGTCCCGACTGCGACTCCACTTGGTGCCGAGGATAGCGAGACATGGTAGTGTCATTTATTTTTACCTTTTTTGTCGTTGTGTTGGTTTTTTTGTTGCTTTCTTTTGCGTGCGCCCGTTTACCTACTCTGCAGGCAGATCCACAACTGTATCCCGAACCCCACCTGCTTGAAACAGAGTTGGCTGGCTAGGGCCCGGGATTGACAGAACTGTGAGAGAGGGTACATGGGTGAAAAGGGTCACACGTTTCCCACTCTGCTCTGTAGCTAGAGTAGAACAAAGATTACGAATGCTACACGCGCGGCAGGTGGCTCATTTCGTCCCCCGTTTGCAACGCCGTGACCTGGGTCTCCAAAGTGTACGCCGAGCAGGTCGCGTACGCCGTTGTCCCCACCCGGGGACCCGCGGAGACCGGACCGCCCCCGCCGCGCTCGCCGTGGTAGTCGTCCTCGTTGACAACCGTCCGGCCACATCAGTGCCTTTCCTTCGCCTCCCGCACTTCATCTATCATTTCCCACGTTCCGTTCCCGCGCGGCGGATTCCTCTTTCCGTTAATGACTCAACTTTTAGAATTCCTCCGGCGGCGGCTGTCGATCCCCGCTAGCGGCGGCGCCGCAGTCCTACCCTCCCTCTGCAGCGTCTCGCGTCCCGTCCCGCTCGTCAGGCGAATGGCGAGGCGGGGCGGCACTTCACTTACCCTCCCCCTCCCCACCCCACCCCCTTTCTCCTCGACACGCACTCGACTCGGTCTCGGACGATGGAAATGACACTGCGAGCTGGTTCCTACCGCCGGGACCGACCGCTTTACCCCCGTTTATTCCCTTGCTGCTCTTTTTTTCTTTCTCTCGAATACTCCTGTGGTATACTCTTTTTTAGGTCTATCTCTCTCTCCCCCCCTCCCCCTCTCCGTTTTCACACCGTATCGGATCTGACCGCTCTCATCCGGCGCGCCACCTCTTTACGACGAGTGGGCCAAAGTGTTTTCCCTCTTTTTTTTCCCCGCCCGATGAGCGCCGCGACGACACCGTCGCGAGGGCGGCGGGGGCGGCGGGGGCGGCGGCGCGGACGGTTCACCACCAACTTCCGGGCGGCGGCGGCGGCGGCATCATAGCGGGGAAGGTTAATCGCGCTGCGATCGGTAGCCTACATTTTGCACCAGAGCCAGAGAGACGGGAAGCGCGTATTTTGACGCGCGGGGTTGGCACTGCCGGTGGCGATCGGGCCGGGCCTGTACCGTTAAGGACCGTCTGGCCGCCCAACCCCCTTTGGAAGATCCGACGAGACGAGGACGGCGTCGTCGTCGTCCTCGTTGGTGGCGGTGCGGCGTCCGCCCTTGCATCAGCTCGGCACCCACGAATAGAATCCTATACTCAACGGCCCACCAGGTCGTAACGTTGGAGGAAGGCATCGAGATTGGCGTCATTCCGTAAAACTACAGCAGGTGTGTCAGAACTCTTTCGTGTGTCAGGGCTAGGACACCGTCGGGTTTGCTTACTCACTCCACCCGTAAGGCGCCATACCCCACAGGGCATGCAAACCCATAACACTGTTGTGACACCCGCGCCCTAGCTCCCTCCTGCATAAGAGTGCACACCCCTGGGTCGTGGCCCTCTCGTCGCCCTCCCCGAGTCCCCCCGCCCCGCCTGCGGCACGCCGCGTGCGCGCCGGCGGCGGCGCCGAGCGAAGTGACTCGGGCGCGTCGATACCGATATGCTAGGCGTGCCGGCGGGTATGCGTTTGAGGCCCGGCAGCGCCGAGCCGCTCTGTGCGTTTACTGGTTAAGAAGCCCCCCTCCCTCCTCCCTCCGCCTCCTTTGCCGGCGGCGGCGGCCGTTCCTTCCTCCGGCGCGAACAATCGCAAAACGCTCCCGTATTACGTTATTTACAATCTCGGGCGCTGCTGCTGCTGCTGCGCGGCGCTTTGGTGCTCGTGCGTCCTGCTGCAGGGTAACGGGCGTGTCACCAGCACACGGCTCCTCGCCTCCTAGGCTAGGCCACATGCTGGGGGGCTTTGAGCCTGCCGCTGATTAGCGGGGGGGG